ATCAGTTCCTACCCCCAGAACTCCGTAGTTCTGCTGCTACTTTCTGCTGCTTCCTCCGGTTCAGTTCTTATCTGTCCTGGCTCTTATCCAGAGTCTCTGGACACTGCCGCCGCTTCTGCTCTGTCTCTGTAGCCCCCAACTGGGGCTGGGGGGCCCCAGAGGCCCCGAGGGGCTCCGGGCCCCTTTCCTCGTGGCTCTACCACAACATGGCTACTTCTTCTACAACCAAACTACAACTCTTCTCTTCCGGTGCTTGTGATATGTTTACATTTCTGCAGGAGCGTTCATTGGGCAGAACTTCAAAACTTCCAGGGGTTTCCACCCCTGGGGGTTACCACTTTTCAGCCTCTGGGGGAAAACAAGGTTCAAACCACTACAATGGGTCAAGCAGGTTCCATCCCTCCTGCCCTCTCTTATTTCACTGTTTTGCCTTATTGTCTCCCTGCCCCACGTGTTGATGGCCCAGTCTCTCCTCCAGTGCTCAGCCCTGGCACACCTTTGTCCCAGTTGTTCCCTAGTTCTTCCTAGGGCATGGCATCATGATAAACCCAAAGGCTGGGTGTGTGCAGGGCATGTCCTGGCACAGGGGTGCTGGGGAGCATCACTGGCAGGTCCCCACTGTGTCACAGAGTTGTTGTCCCAAGAGTTACCAAAAATGGATAAACAGCAATCAGGGAATACTCTGGGCTGACGTGTGTCATATCAAGGAGCTTTCTTTTTGCCCACTGGGACTACACTTCTGCTTTTGGGAAGGCTTGGTGTAGGTGTTCTCTCTCTTTTCACTAATCATGCTGGTGTATTTATAAAAATTTTCCACTTTGTGTCTTGTCCTTTGAAATCTGGAGGCAAGACCCGGGAATGTTTCTTCAGGCTGCCTTCTCTTTCCAGTCACATTGTCCCTTTTTGTTAATACATCACTCTAGGACTTTAGATAGGAGTTTTTGTGAGGTGGCAGCAGTTCTTGTGTAGGCCTGTGATTGTTCCTGTGCAGCTGTGTCTGCAGTGATGGTGCTCCCAAAATCCAGCAGCAGCAGCAGTGTAGGAAGAATAGCCTGAGCAGGATTTTCCTCTGTTGGTGACAGCATTCTCAATCCATATGTCCTGAATTGCTTTCCTGCAAAACTGCTGCTGCAAATTCTGCTTTTGAGTTACCTTCCTGGAGTGTTGATTCCTAGTTTTCACAGTAGCATTTCAGCTTTTGTTTCAAGGAGGACACCTGTGTATGAAGTGTGCAAACACAACTGGAAGTGTTGTCCTTATTGATTTACCTGCCTTGCTGCTTTTGGTTTAATTGGGTCATGACTGTTGCATCACTTCTAAACTGTGGCCAGGGTAAATAGCTATATTTTTTTCCTAGTCTTCAGTCATGAACTTTAAAAATCGTCCTTCCAGCAGTACTTGAGCAATAATACTAATTTGTTTTTCTTTATTCAACTGCTGCATGAAAGGGTGACACCAGTTTTGATTTTAAATCCTTTGGCCTTTAGTGCATGTTTCTTAAGACACCTGTTACAGAAGACAGAGCCAAGGACATTTCATGGAGTGACATCTCCAAGTGTTACAACAGTTTGTCCTCTGTTGTGTATGGTTATACATCTTACAGAAAGCTTGTGGTGGGCAAGTCAGAACCGAGGCACTGAAAATGCTGCAGACAAAACGAAAGGCCAAACTAACTCAGCCCTGTGCTTCTGCCGTGGTCTCTGTTGCACCCAGTTGATGCTGAAGCCTCTCTCTGCTCGAGGTTAACAAGAACTAGCACTCAACTGGGTCATGTTGCCCTTAGAAGCAGCTGGATCACGGTGTTCCACTGGAATTCCTCCATGCCAGGTCCAAACAAGAGGTGTCCCCCAGTGCAGGCTGCTGGGCTGATCCTGTTGTGTGTACTGAGCAGAGGCCAAGTGCAACAAAGGGTATTTGCAGGCTGGTGGCCTTGCAGGGCAGAGGGGCTGGGTCACATGCCAGGACACAAGAGAGACAAGTGGGAAAATGTGCTTAGAGAGGGGAGAAGGGATGAGGGGAACAGGGGAACGACTGAGGAGGAGCTGGGAGAGGTGGGGAAGGGTCACTGTTGGATGGTGGGGGAATAAATGTGAGTGGAGGTGTAGGAGGTGGCAGTGGGTGTCCTGAGGCATTGTCCAGGTACCACATCCTGGCACCTTCTAATACAACAGGAACTGTTGTTTCTGTGACACCCCAGAGCAACAGAAAGAGGTGTCCACTGCCATTCCCAGGTCACTGTGCTGACACTGTCACGGCACACGAGTGTGTTTAATTCCATAGCTGGGACCTGGTTCCTTACACCAGTGTCCAAAACTGGGGAACCTCCCTCTGAAATGGTCTGGATCCCTTTCCCCCATCCACGGCGTGGGGTGGCCCAGTTCTAGTTCGGTTTCCATCTGAAGAACCATCGCGACGCTTTGAGGGATGGGGAAAGGGAACTCCAGGGGTTTCTCAGGGGTTTTTTCAGGCCCTGAGCCTGGAGGGGAAAGGTGCTCCTCCCTCCCCCGACGCACGTGGCCCCATGGCCGGCACAGAGACAGGACACAGGACACCCGGCGTGGAGAGGAGGCAAGAGCGTGTTTATTGTGGGGGACGTTACATTTATAGGGTTTAGGAGGATTCACAGAGTAACCAATTAGAAGTCTCAAGGGGTTTACAGGAACACCCAATCACAGGAAGGGCTCAGGACACCTTCCCAGGACATTCCTGCATGGATAACAAGGGGGTGTGCTGGGAGGAAGAAGCATGTGTTTGCAAAGAGACCACCAAAAGCCATTTTAAAACCTGTTTAAACCACAATTTTCCCCTATAATGCAGGTTTAGTGCCACAAAATGGGATCCAAAAAGGATCTCAAGGGCTCCCTCAGGGGCTGCCACCCCAGTATCTAACTGCACATCACAATGGTAAACCCTACCCGTGACAGCAGAGAGGATGAACTTCCTGGGGGCTTCAGCTGCAACCAGACAACTGTCAGCGAATTTCTAAGCTCACTCAAAAAATTCTCCTTTCAAAATTTTTCTGTTGCTTTTTCTGCTTTATTCACCCTTTTCATGTTTGTTTTTCAGTCATCCTGGCTGATTATTAAGTACGTGGCGGAAGAAAACCTTTAATCAGAACTATTTTATTATGCTCTGTTTCTTTTATCTTCTCCATGCTGGAAACTACTCAATACCTGTGATTGCTTATCTGCAGCATAAAAAATTAAAAAAATAAGATAAATCTTCAGAGTAACATAATGAAGCCACCTAGCACAGAATGCCTTCGTAAAAAGCCTGATCAAATCTGCTGAGTCACAAAATTTCAACACATGAAGTTGCCCTGTTAGCTGATTCCTTTACCAGGAAAAAGGTAAATGATAATTTTGAATATTACCCACTTCATTGAACCCATTTAGCTTAACTGGAGGTTATGGATTCTTCCATGCACTTAATGGACCATTGTTCTCTGTCATTCCCACTGTTTACAGCTGACAACACAGTGTACACCCAAGTTGTGGCAAAACCAACCTCTCACTACTAAGATGGGAGTTTAATGACATTTTTAATGAACACAGAGCTCATTAGTTAAAAAAAAAATCCCATATAAGCACAACACTAAATGTAGCTGTTCTATATTTGTGCTCCTTCCTCAGCATTTCCGTGGATAAATGACAACATGTTATGGTTGTTTATCAATTAACATTAAAGGATGTTTATTCAACTGTTGCAGCTACTGTATAGCTTTAGTCTATTTTTTTAAGGACAAAAAGCTTGGAATGAGATCCAGTATTGTATGACTACCATAAGACCTTATTTAATTGTATCTTGGGCAGCTGGGCAATGCTGGAGCTTCTTGCAAGCTCAAGAGGTTAATATCTGTCTTTATTAATCCTTCCTTACTGAAGTTTGGAGGGGGCTGCACAGGGTAAAATACATTCTGTGCTCACTTCATAACACACTGAACAAAACTGCTCACAGCAATTAGAGGCTGCCCTTTGCTTGGCACCCAGAAACCAAGAACTGAGGAGGTTTCTTTAATATTAATTTTAATGAAAGTATTTCAGAAATAGAAACATGAGAGAGAGAGAGAGAAATTCGAAACACTGAGAATTTAAAAGGAGGAGAATTCATTAAAAAATATTCTGGTGTATTGGGGAGTGTCTTGTGTTCCCTTGTGTGTCCCAAGGTGTTCAGGGCTCTGAAATAGGTAGATCTGAGGTTTGGTTGAGTTTACTGCAAACTGTCTTCCTCTGGTACAATTTCACAGTTGTGATTTTGTGAATATTTATGTTATACTTGTTATAAAAAAATGTTCAGTCACTGATCAAAACTGCATTTTGTGTCTGCAGCACTGGGCTGTCCCAGTCTAAGTGGGAATGATGGTCCAGCTGTTGATTTAACTGAAAACTGGTGCCAGAGCAGAGTCCTCGAGGGGGAGGGCTGGAAAACACCCAAACATTTCTCATGGGGATACAGCTTATGGGCAACTTCAGCTTCCAAATGGTGTGTTGTGCTACTGGAACACCAGAGGAACTACAGCTTTAAGAGTGACATTTTCTAGGGAAATGTCACTGTGTGGAAAGTTATACTGCATCTTCTCAGAAAACGGGTTGAAGGGAGTTTTGGGGGTTTTGTGAGTTCTTGGGCTTTGTAAAAAAAAAAAACAAAACAAAACCAAAAAACCAACAACAACAAAATCAACCCCCCAAAAAATCACATTCCACATTCCTGTGAGTTGCTTTACGCACAGAATTTTTATTTCTTAGCAGTTTGTTAACATTCCAGCTACAGAAATGATGTCCCTGAGGTACAGCCAGGGATAACTTCCATCCCATGCTCAATGTCAAGGCACCCAGAGGAGGAGTTGATGGATGTTCTTTAGGATACCAGTCTGGTTAAACAGGACGCCCTTTGCAGCCCTTCCTGTGCAATGGGCAGAGCTTTCTATTCATCCAGACAAACATTTCTATGTCATAGAACTGCTTTTCAATTCAAAGCAAAACTTCGGGTTGTTTTGTGCCTTTTTTTTTTTTTCTGTTAGAAGAATTCCAGGTTTTTGTTAAACAAACAAAAGAGAAAACTACAAGTAATATGTGTTGTGTGATGGTTTGGTTTCACTCTTGGGAAGAGGAGTGAAAGGTTTTAATGCTGCTTTCTGTGTGATCCTGAAATTAAATTAATTTAGCACTATCTACTTAGAGCTTGACATAGTACACTTGGAGAAAATTCAACAGTAAATGTAGGATGGGGTTTTAAGTGAATTGACTGTTATGTATTTGTCTTGCTCTTTTTTTGTTTTGTCTTTTCTTTTTGATCAGTTTTATCGGCTCCTGTGTGTTTTCATAGTTCTTGCTGTGGAATCTTTATTTTAAATTTTTATTTTCATTTCATCTATGTTTACAGACACATATAAAGCCAAACATCACAGAAAATTAAGAACCTACTGTAGCCAGGTTCAGATTGTATCCGATGCAATTAAAGAATAAAGTTTCACCATTTACTTGCTATACCTCCTTAAAAATGTTGATGATAGGATTTTATTGGCTTTTTCACCTCTAGGAAAATGGGAGAAAGAGATGTCTCAGGTATGGAGCAGTGACTGGCTTCTCATCTCCCCCTCCTTGCCACTTATCCCTCTCTCAGAGCTCGGCAGAACACTTCTGGTCACATCCTTCAAAAATGTGTCCCCATCATGAGCAGGTATTGCAGTTCAGCACCCCCAGCTGAGTGAACAGAAGATGTCTCTGAGGTCATTTGTTCCTCTTTTCCAAGGCACATTCACAGAAAATTGTCCCTTTTGCTGCTTCTGCCCCGAACCCATTATTAGGAACGATACAAATGTGCATTTGCTGTACATCTGTGACACAAGAAGTAAGGCAAGAAGTACTTAAACCCCCACCAAATGCACCTAATTCATTTTTGAGAAGCAATAAACTGGTTCGCAGCTCAATTTCTAGCATTTTTTCTCAGCTGGACAATTATTCAGGCTTGAGCTAATTCTTTAACTCAGGTGATTCAGGACAAACTAAAAATAGCTGCAGGAAACTATGTGACCAGTTCCAGAAAACCAGGTTTTTTTTCCTTTAGTATCTAAAAAGTGAACTAATATGTTAAAGTTGTGTGTGTTAAGGCTCCTCTTGACTTCAAGTTGTTGCCTGTTTGATTCTAGGGCTGAGTGGGGCCTTGGTGGTTTTTTTCGGGGTGAGTGTTGTTAGTAAGTGAAGTTATAAAGAGCCACGTGCCTGCAACCAACAGTGCAAAACCAGGAGATGGAAATCTGTGCCTCTGTCTGGGTGGCAATGGATTTACCAGCACAAACAGGTTGGGAGGGACACAATCACCCACTAATTAGCAGAGTCTTTTACTACCTTGTTAATTGGCTGAAAGGTTTATTAGTGGTTTTAGCTCATCTCTTATCTGGGAGATTTAGGGTTGAATTACCTCCAGCAAAGAGGAAACCTCTGTGATCTTGTCTGTCAAGCCCAGGACCTCATGGCACATCCAAATCCAGACACGTGTGGGCAGCACCTTTGGGCTCTGGGGTTAAACCCTGGTGGTGTGGAGACTGCAGCCCTATTCCTGGCTCTGCTTCCTGAAACTCCAGAACAGCTTTGGGAAAGTTGGTTCATCTGTCCAGGCTTGGTTTTTCACCTCTCTGACATGAAAATGTTGACAGGGCTCCAAGAGAAAGATTTCTCTGTGGGATTAATTTTGAAGTGACCTCGGGAGGGGGCCTGTCCTTTGCCCAGCAGCAGCGAGGGTTTGTGGTGGAAGCAGCCCAAGAAGTGAAGTGGGACAGGAAAAAGCAATGCTTGAACTTTACCCACCTCTTTCCAAACAGATCAGTATGAGCAGGGGTTTCCTCGGAAAAGGAGAATATGAGGGAACACGCTGAGCTGGAACACAACCTGTGCTACACATCCTGGGGTGAGATAACTGTCTTGTTTGTACCCTGTGTTTTCCCCATCTGAGGGAAAGAGGATTCCTTTTGAAAAATAGTGTGAGATCTCGAAGTGAACGGTGTGGGAGGGTATTGTTTGTGTTGTGGTGCTTGCTGGAAAAAAACTGAGTGCAACAACAAATGGGATGAGAGGAAGTGGGAAAACAATGGGAAGAGAAAAACTGCTTTTAGCCTTACAGAGTGGTCATTGATTCACGAAAGCAGAAGGATAATTCCTCATTGTACAGCTTTCAGACAACAGTTAGTATATTCACTTCCTGTTAAAGACTAGAAAAATAATGAACTGACAGAAGCCAAAGAAAAGTCAGTTAAAAAACCCAGTAGTTAGGGGACATGAGGAATAACTAATAGGAAAAGAGGGGAAAAAACAGTGAATTGATGGAACGGAGTGACAGTCAGAGTTGTAAAAGATGATAAGCTCAGAGTAAAATTAATTGCTTTTGGAGCTCAAGTTCAGAAAGAGAAATTCTCAGACAAAAATAGAGTTGTGGTGGTTTTTTTTCCCTAAAAAGATTATCTTGGAAAATCATTTTTTATCTGAAGAATTATGTAGATAAAATGGAAAAAGTAATTCTTTCTAAGAATGCTAAACAGTGCTTTAGAATATGCTGTACAGACAAGATTTACAGTATCTTTTAGGCCTTCAGTCTTCATGTGGCACAATCACCTGAGTACTGAGTGTAATTGTGGTCTTTGAACGTTGTAAGTCTTGACAACAGCTTTTACCATTTTTATGTATTTGTATTCTGCAGAATAAAATTAAACAATCGCACCTATAAAATGCTTCTTTTCTAGATTTATTATTTATTAATGCCTTTCATGAAACTAACTATGTATTTGACTTAAAAATTAAATTCCTCTTGCTTCAGCACAGGATCTTGCATGGAACAATTGTGGTGAAGGAAAGTAATATTTTGCATTTGTGCAAAAGGATTAGAGTAATTAGAAAGCAAGTTATACCTCTAACTAGTGGCATGTGCCTATTTCAGAGAGGAATACATAGGAAGAGAACTTACTCAATGAAAAAATGGAAGATTTTTGCTTAACCAAAGCCCTCTGAATAAATCATTCTGTGTTTTTTCTCCTTATGGAAATGGAGACTGGGGGTCAGCGCTGTGCTGATGGCTGCATAAACTTTGATCTTTCTTCCTTAAATTTTTCACCTCCTTTGGATTCCCCTGGAGCAAACCAGGACACTGGTGCTTGCTGGAAACAACTCAGGTGTTATTTTGCTACTGAGTCCAGTTCCATGTGATGCAACTCCTTGTAAACATTAACTCGTAAATGCTGTGGGTGCTGCTTTTTTGGGGCAGCAGGGAGTGACCGTGTACAGGCACACATCTCCTGCGTGCTATTTTTGGCAGGTACAGCCCCTGTGTCCTGCCAGCACCAACCTTCTGTTTGCTCCTGTGGCTCCAGGGCCGGGGCAGCCGCGGGATCTCTCCACCTGGAATGCACAGGGACAGCCAATCTCGGTCTGTTTGCTCCTGGAGTGACACAAAGGGGATGTCACAGCTCCGGGTCGCCTTTCACGTGTTCCCATTCAAAGGTCTTGCTCACTGAGCAGGAAAAACCAGAGGAACAGGGGAGCAATTGGGACACAAGGCAGCCCGGTTGGGGACAGGGGAAGCTCACTCAGAGTTCAGCTAAATAAGAGAAAGAAAGGAACCAGTTTGTTAACATGGCTCCCCCTTTTATAGGGGAGCTGGGAGAACTTTCCAGAGTATGGTGAATAAGGGGAGGAGTTTTGGGAAGGAGGAACAAGGATTGGGTACAGAGCATAAAGGGGAGGGATAAACAATAGAATATGCATGAGAAGGGAGGGGAACTCTTATGGGAATGAACCATTACAGCATAGGGATAAGGACAAACCATTATTAAAAAGCATTAAAACAGCCATGAACTTGTAATTTCTCTCCATTCAACAGTCTCAGTTAAACAAGTCCATTATTTCAAATCCATTCCTCTTCTTCCATGACTTCTTTCAATGCCACAGCCCAGTGCTGGTAGGCTTCTCCCTCTGGTTCTTCAGAGTCCTCATCCACGGGGACAGGGACTTTTCCCATGGGATAAAGGGATAGGAAGTGGGGACACACTACAGGATTGCACAAGGGGGTTTTTAAAAGAAAGCAGAGCATCAAACCTCCGTCCTAAGGCCCTAAAGGTGTTGTGAACACCTGCTAAGGGTAGAGCTGGGGAGTGGCAATCTTGTGGATGGGACTTTGACCACGGGCCATTTTCATTTATCGTTTCACTCCTTCCAGTACCTTTATGCATAGAGTTATTAGTTATCTTTTTGCATACAGCTATTGCTGTGACACAATATTTTAGCTGCACTTTGGCTGTGCACTGGATGCTGCCATACTGAGCTAATGAGAATTACTGTTCCTTTTGAAGTTCTAATAACCTGCTTGCTCCACGTGCTCCAAGTGTTTCATATCCATGCATAGATTAGTTTGGAACTAGTCCTCTATGTGAATTTAGTTGTTACTCAGTTGTTTACATATAATCCTTTTCTTTTCCCCTGTATGTTCTCATTCGTTGTCTTCCAGTGCAAACCCCTCTTGTTTCCCATGTGCTTTTTTCCTCTGGAAGGTTTCCTGGTTTGGCCTAGCCAAGGGCATTTCTGAGGTGCAGAACATTGATACAGAGCTAGTTTGAGTAAAATAACTTGTAAAAGTTACCAGCCAGCTAAAGAAAAGGACAGATGACGATGATGGATTGAATCAGATCTTAAATCTGAGGTTCCTTCAGTCTGGTTCCTCCTCTGCATTTCAATGTGTTGGGTCCACGAGGAGAAGAAAGGAAGTGACCCATGCCCGAAGCTGCAGAGGATGGGGCAGTGAGGATCAGTGCTGGGGCAGAGCCAGCTGGCCCTGGGGAGGTGCCTTTGGGCTGCTTTCTAACAAAGAACCCTCCGTGGGGCTCAGCTGGGCGTGCCCGGGAAGTGCCCGGCAGAGAACTGGCACTGCAGAACAGGAGGAGGAGGAGGATGACATTAAGGACTGACACAGATCCATATATTTCAGTGCCTCCCCGCTTGGCATCTCTGCCCAGGCAAACCATGTAATAACAGCTTCCCTCACATACCTTGGATCCCCAGGAGAAGAGGAGTGAGTGTTGTGATGAGTAAGATGCAGAAGACATAGGTGAATGGTATTTATAGCCTAGCTCAAAATAATTTTTCCAGACACTTCCTAGGTTGGTGTGGGCTGGCTTTAGTCGTGTTCCTTAGTGTTTGCCACTGCCTCCTCCACACCTGATCAGGGACTGACACAGCTCCTTTCCTCATCTTTTAATTGGCAAACTTGCTTCTCTAAAATATTTCTCTTTTGCCTCATGCAAATTGTGAACTCACTGGCCATGAGAAGAGCCTTGCCTTTGAACGAGCCCTCACAGAGACAGCAGTGTTTCAAGACAATTGAAATCCCAATTTTTATTGGGATGAGTCTGCAATACAAAACTCCTCATGTATTTCTGAACACCAAGAGCAGCACTTACTTGGGCAAATCTGCTCCTGGGCTGGTTAAGTAACTGCCCAGGCAGACCACTGTAATTTTAATAACCCTCAGGAGTGACAAAGCTTTACCCACACAGCCCTAACTGCAAGATAGGGTCACAAGTAACAATTTGGTGTCTTGTATCCAATCAAGGAGCTTTTGTTCAGTCCCTTTTGCTGCTGATTCGGGATCTTTCTTTTCTTTCCTGTTGACCATTTATTAACTGGTGGCACAGGAATACCCAACGTCCATTATTCTAATTGTTGTCCCATTTCTGTATAAAATGATTTCTGAGTCACATCCAAAACCATATAGACTCCTTTCATTGCCATGACAACAGCAAGGCATGCCAATGTTAGCAATGTCTGCTAGAAAAAAACCAGCAGTAAAAGCGAAAACCAGTTAATTGAGGTATTTCACATCTAAATCCCATTTTCTGTAATGATCCAAAATTATCCTGCATTGTGGAAAAGTAGCTAAGAACAAGCCCTAGATAAATAGCATAGTCTCATGCTGAATGTTGAGTCTTGTCCTAGGCACTGCAGTACAAAAAAAGATCTTACAAAAATAGAGAGAGTGGAATTGGTCATAGCCCTGGTGTCATATTTGGATCAGAAGAGGATGAAGAGTTAAATGTGGTTGCTAAAAATGAAGGATAACCACTAACAGCTCTAGAAAAAGGGTTGATGTTAAATTGCACATTGTTCTTTCATTACCATACCTTCATCTTCATTGCCTAAGTACATTTGATGTGATTACATAACAATACATTTAAAACTAATAAATAATGCAACAACTCATGTAAAATAATAGGAAATCATTGATGTAAAATAGGTCTTGTAGAGCTCAGTCCAAGTGAGGCTGGGAAAGAGGAAAGCCAGAGGGTGGGACTTGAGAGGTGTGGAGTCATCAGGAAGGATTATTTCTGTTTTAAGGGAGGTGAGAGCACAAAGATAACAGAGGTACCATCTACAGCCTCCTTTCCTTGAAACCTGCATGATCCTGTGGCTTTCTCCTGGCCTCCCTCTATGCTTTGAAGCTGAGATGGAGCCTGTTTTGGAAATAGAACTGAGCATAAATGTCCTGCAGTCAGGGACATTACCTGCTGAACTCTTTACATTTGTGGGTTTTGAAGCCCTCTGCTTATGCTTGTGGAGGAGGTGGAGAGGAGGAGTGATGCTGCCCACTGGAAGGCTGTGATTCAGGTATCCCTGGCTGTGTCTGGGGCTGGCCCATAAAACTCTTCTCGATGGTTTTTGTTCTTTTCACCCTGCTAATGCATTGCTGAGGTGGCTGGAGGGCTAATCTTTCCTATGATGTGTCCTCAGGGTGCCCAAATGAGTTTCAGGAGCCTCTGCACTTTCCAAAGGATGAGAGTGCTACGTTTTCATTTAATGGTAGTTGACTCTCCAAGGAGGTGGCTGATTTCTGGTGACAGCCACAGGTGTTGTCAGAGCAAGTGTAACTCTGCTTCCCCTTATTTACAGCCTTATTTTTAGACCTACTGGTACTACTGTAGACTAGAATGCTGTTGGCTTCAGCTGGGTTCTCACGAATTTTGACAATACTTGCCAGCTTAGGGAGGTGGAATAGACCTCCTCATCCTGCATCATTTGCCATCCTGGGTTTTATTTGGGTTGGGGAGGTCCTGAATGCCAGGTGGCTGTAGCACCTCAGGCAGTGGGGCTCCAGCTCTGAAAGAGAAACTGGGGAAGTCACTTGACTTCTAGATGCTGAGACTTACCAAAGATTGTGGTTAATATCAAATATTAAGAGTTGCTATCTAATAAACAAGCTTCATGTGAGAGTTCACAAAATAAATAGCAGTGATCCTTCAGCATCACTTAAATTCTGAGATCAGTGAGCCTCTGGAAACAGCCCTCCCCCTGCATCCAGGCAAACGGGAGGGTGGGGATCCTGGGCTCTCAGCACTGCGGGGTGATTGATGGGCTGTGTCGAGGCTTGACGAACAAACCAAGAAAACCTTGTGGGTTTATGAACTTAATATCTAAGTGTGAATAACTTAAAAGCATTAAACATCTGCAAAGCTAAGAAATTCCTTGAGAACTGTGCAACACTGGGCTGTTGGTGGAGCCTGCAAGCCATAAAAGCTGCAGTTAATGATAAGGTTTGTCTTCATGTCGTGGTTAATGAAAGTGTGTGGGTGTGGGGCACGTGACCATGACAGGAGCACTGCTGCAGCCCAGTGTCTGCTTATTCTGCTTTCTCGTCTGCATTGAATGTATTTTCATGTATCTGTTGAATTTTTTAGGTTTATTTCTTACACAGCATCCTTTAGCCGGCGTATTTTAAATACTCTAAGAACGCTTTAAAGTGCATTTATAATTTACCCCATTTTTGGTGATGTTTGTTTGCACGGTGGTCTCATCAACAAAGAAGCTGCTCATTCACAGCACAGCTTAAGACAAAAGATTAGGTGGTGCAGTTAGGGGTGCAAAACTAGAAAAAAATCTTGGAAATTGTTGAACAAAAATGGGTTGTCTTGACCATTACTCTGTGGGACACTACACAGGTAAATTGCTAACAGAGACTTTTTTCTCATCCCGTGTTTTTTAGCTTGGTTAGGTCAAAGATTTTCAAAGCAAGGCATTTGGGTTTTATTCTGCTGCGAAAAATGTGTCCCCAAATATTGCAGGGCCTTCTGTGGATCAGGGTGTTTTTTGACTATAGGAGATGTCTTTGGTAATCTGTAATGGATTTTTTTTCTTTCTTGTATTTCTCCAGTCCCTTTTTGAGTCCAGGTAAACTTTTACTACATTTTGTCCTGTGTTCTACAGCTTAATTATATGTGAATGAAGAAATAATTGCTCTTTGGTTGTTCTGAGTTTGGTATTCCCACCCATTACCCTCTAGCTCTTCTATTGGAAGAGGCAGTGGACAATTATTCCCTGTTCACCTATTTCAGGCATCCAATCTTTGTAAGCTTCCATTACATTACTACCTTCAGCTGATGTACCCAAACATACGCACTCACTCCTCAAACAGAATTTTTCCTCTTGCTTCTTGCCAGTTTTGCCCTTTATTTAGTCCTTAACAAAGGGCACCGATTCAGTCATGGCATCCCTACTATTTTAGGGCTGTAACCAATTCACGTGAGTATAACTGAGATTCCTCAGTGTTTTATTTCTTGCCACTGTGGCCTCGCTGATCTGGGCACATCATTGTCACCACCACCACCTGAGCCTGTAACTGTCTTCAGTGGGAATTTTTTCCCTGTTTTAGACACGGAATTTCTGTCCCCAGTGACACTTTTATTACTTCTTGCTGTTATCCTGTTCATTCTGTTTAAGTAAACGCTTTCTTTTAATGGTCTCCTGCTTGTGCACTGGTGGTGTGATTCGTCCTGCCTTTTCTGCACACTTTTTATCCCTGCCCACAGCATCCAGTTCTCCTCCTGTCACTGACAGTCCAATACATCAGCTAGATCCGTATCCTCATCTAAATTCAGTGTTTGATTCCCCCGACCTGTTCTTTTCAGGTGATTTTATGCAAAACCAGTTGTCTGCCATTGTACTTTGAGAAGACAAATGATGGTTTGTTGATGATTCCATTCCGAGGTCTGTTCAGCTGTAGGAGACTGAGGGGAGATTTCATTGCAGATACACCTTCCTGGGCAGGGGAGCTGAGCTCTGCTCTTTGGGACCACGGACAGGACCCAGGGAATGGCTGGAGCTGTGTCAGGGCAGGGTCAGGTTGGATCTCAGGGAAAGGTTCTTCCCCCAGAGGCTGGTTGGGCACTGCCCAGGCTCCCCAGGGCAGTGGGCACGGTCCCAAGGCTGCCAGAGCTCCAGGAGGGTTTGGATGATCCTCTGGGACACCTCGTGTGACTCTTGGGGACGGTCCTGTGCAGGGCTGAGGGTTGGACCGGATGATCCTCGCGGGCTCTCAGCACATTCCCAGGGATTCCACTTGGACGGGACGCCCCAGCCCCGGACCGTACGCGGACACGCCCCGCCCGCCTCAGGGAGCCGCGCGCGCGCCCGCGCACGGGACGCGCCCCGCGCTGGGAGGGGAGGGGGGAGCGGGCGGCGCTCTCGCGAGAGCCAGGCGGACACCCCGCGAGATCTGTGCGCGCGCCCGCCCGCGTCATGTTTTGCCGGTGACACCCGGGCCGGGCGGACGCGGCTCCGCCGGGACCCCCCGCCCGCACCGACCCGGCCCCGGCCCCGCCGCGGCACCCCGGCACCCCGGCACCCCGGCACCCCGCACCGCGGCACCCCGGCACCCCGCACCGCGGCACCCCGCACCGCGGCACCCCGCACCGCGCCGGGCCCCGCCGCTCCCGCCGCTCCCCGCCGCTGCCTGGTGAGCGCGCGGCCGCCGCGCCGGGGGGCGCGGGCAGGGGCGGGAGGCCTGGGCTCGGCCGGGACCCCTCAGAGCGCCCGGAGCGGGGCAGGGCCGGCGGGGAGGGCGAGCGGGGGCAGGTGGGGCCGCGCAGGTGGCGGTGCCCTGCTGCTGAGGGGGGAGAGAGGGACGGGCGTCCTCCGGCAGCGCTCGTCCCTTCGCGGGGGCTTTTTGTGCCTCCTCGCAGCGGTGTGAACGGCACGAAATCCGCGCCGTGCCCCGGCCGCGCTCCTCCGAGCCCGTGCTGTGCTCCCGGAGCCTCGCGAACGCGGCCGTGGCGTGGCCCTGCGTTTCCCCTGAGCGCTGGATGCACCCCTGGCTCTGTGCATCCGAGCTGGACCCGGCTGGTGCCGCAAAATCCACTGTAAGATGTGTCACGTTGGCCTCCGCCGGCCCCGGGCAGGGCTGGGGGTGTTCCCTGCGCCTCCGGACCTGTCAGCCCACGCCGTCGGCTGCCCGGGGCCTGTGTGCTGACCCTGGCTTGCAATACTGAAAAATTGTACGTGTGCTCTTACTCAGAGGTGGTTTGTTTTGTATTCCAAAGCGATATCCGAGCAGGTGTTTTGCTGTGGTTTTGGTTTTTATTGTTTTGGGGTTTATTGTTTTGTTGTTGTTGTTTTCTTTTTTTTTTTTTAACTGCATATGGTTAATTTTCTTTAGAAGTTCCTGTATATAAGCTGCTTTTCATGGTTTTTTTTTAGGGACAGAACCCTACTGTGCTCTCTCTCTCCCTTTCACAGTGCACATAGGAGTGGTTTAGTGCAGTTGTTGAGCATCTTCATGTTGTGTTGTCACATGTCTGAGCTGATTGTTCCCTCATGGACTGGTCAGTTTGCTGTAGCTGGACCATGTGCTCTATATACATAGATATAGATATATACAGATGTATATACAGCTGTGTATACACGTGTGGTATTGCCTCATGGGGTCGATCAGATTTGTAGCTCAGCAGAGTGTTCTGTGCTGTTATTTCTTGACAAAACCTCAAAGCTGCGAGTTTACACCTGCTGAATTTAGTGCTCCTTCCTTGAGGCCCCACATATCCCACATCTGCTCCATGGCTTGGGGATGTGGACTGGGGAGGACTCGGATCTCAGGGGTGAGTCTCTCAGGCTTATGGGGAAAACATAATAGGCATTTGACCTGCAAAGGTGGACTGTACACCTCGTCAGACTGCTGCTGCTTCCCAGTGGTCTAAGAGGAGTCTGTTAATTTTGTGTGAAGGATTGAAAGCTGTGCAGTGTTATGCTACAGGGCAGAAAGGCATTGCCAGTCTCCCGAGTCCCTGCACCTGTGAGGAATTTGTTAGGTGGCTTTATGCACAGTGGTTGTGTCTCAGAATTAAACTCCTTCTCTCTGAGTATAAACCTGTACATGTTTGAGGATTTCCTCTCTGCTCTTCTGTTGTTATTTAAATATGTCATGTATGTTTTGTTCTTTGCCTGAACATTAAGAATAAACATGTTTTTGTGGTTGGAAGTGTGTAAGTTGAGGGGGAAGTGGGGGGTGTTGAAATTTCTTTATGGAAACTGTGCAAAGGAGGTATTTATCTAATTGTTAGTTAAGGATAGGGATGTAAAGTATTTGACTTATTTTTGCCGAAGGACTGCTCGGTGTAGTAAGAATATAGCACAGCATTCTTTTATTCATTTAATCCTTGAACTGAAAAATAGTTTATCAGTGAAAGCTGCTCTTCTCTTATTTCAGAACTGAATTAAATGGATAGTATTTGATTAGGAAAAGGCTGAAGTGGACAGGCTAAAGATGTCAGTTGTTTTTTGTCTTTACCAATTTCAGGTAGTTATGGTCTTTCTTTTTCAAAGAAAGCAGTACAGGGGTGCTCTGCATGTTTTAAAGTACCACTGATGATGGAGTGGGACCTTTCTATGGATGGGGAAAGCTCCATGTGGATTTGTGTTTTGGTAGTAAAATGAATAAAGTATATACATTTAAGTACTTTTGATTAAGACACTCTTAATATTCCAGTCTTTCTTTCTGTTTTTAGTGTAATTATTCTTGTAATACTCATGGGGAAGAGAAGCACTTTTATCCCCATTTTAGAAATAAGTAATGGAGACAAAAATATGTATTTCAGGAAGACTTGGTGGAGCAGGCCTTTGATTTCTGGTCACAGGTTGTTACGAAGTCATTATCCTTTCAATGCACTGTCTTCATTTGGGTCCTGTACAGGCACCTTACCTTCCTCTTGAGAGGTTTTTATCTTGGTCTGTGTTTGAGTTCGGTGTAGGGTGCAATTCTCTCTGGCTGGTTTGGCTTCCTGATGTCAAAGTCACCTCAGTGACTGGTGAGTCCTGTGCTGGTTGTGTTTCTTTCTCAGAAGCACTCAAACTCTCAAATTGCTGGCAGGTTTTGGTTTTGTCTCTCCCTGTAGCGAGTGAGGTCATGTGGAACATCCAAATCTAGTCGGTGTTTTCTCTTTACAAACCTCTAAAGTGTCCCTCAGAAAAGGAGGCTCTGCTGTCGTGGGGCTGCTTGAAATAACTGGCAGTGGTGCTGCAGCTGCTCAGGGGCACTGTAGTCACTCACAGTTACCCTGGTAAGTTCTGAATGTGGAAAAAACCCCAAAGCCCAGCCTGGAACCCAGTAACTGTGGAATTTGCCAATCCACAGCCGGTGTAACTGTGACCTTGGAGCTGGCCAGGTATATTCCCTGACCTGGACTGCCTGTTGTGATTGACCTGATGTCATCAAGTTAGTTGGGAGGAAATTCTGGTGGCTCAGGCAATCATGTTCTCTGCTGGAAGCTGGAATTAATTTGCTGCTTAAAGAAGAGCCTGCAGCTTGAGTCCTCCTTACTACTAATAATAATTGTTTTGCTGTCAGGTCTGTATGATACAGAAATTTCATTGTCAAAACATTTCCTTATATTTATGAATTTATAGGACAGAAGTTTCTTCTTCAGTCAGTTATACCTGGAGTACTCTGAGGCAAGAAATATAAGTGTTACCTGGAAGTGTTAACATGAAGGGGCATCCACAGCTTGCTGGGCAACCTGCTCTGGTATCTCACCACCCACTTTATTCAAAGTTTCTTCTTTATATCCAATCTAAACCTGCCCATTTTCATTTTAAAACCCTCACCTCTCAACCTGTCACCACAAGCCCTGATAAAAGGTATACCCCTTTTATATGTGTGTGTATATATATATATATATATGTATGTATATATCTGTGTAAATATACATATCTCAAGGCTGCAGTCCACTTTCCCACTTGCATCACAGTTAACTTGAAAGCTACATGAGTG